TTGTAATGAACTCGTGAAAGATGAAAACCTTCACTAAACTCGTGAAAACTGAAAGATTTAACGTGAATTTGTAAGAAAAACAAATATTATAATATACTCAAGACAACATCAATTTGCAATGGACATCTTTAGAATTTTTTTAGTATGTTTTTAAGATATAGTGTATGTATTAGAACGTCCCTTGGAAGTCTGCTTGTCTGGGATTACTTTAGGATAAATTATGAAAAGATAAAATATTCTATTAATATTAAAATTATAAATCTGCAGAAAAAATATATTTCATATAAAATAATATGTAAAATACATGCAATAAATACATAAAATAAACTTACATTTTACTTATTACATACAATTTATAATATATTACACTTTAACTTTCTGATGCATACGTATCTTAACTTTGCAAACTTCGTCGGTATACTTTCACTGCCTATATCACGCTTCAATCGGTTTTCGTTGTTCACTTTAGGGTACGTTCAGATTCCCTACCCGGGTGCACTCTAATACTAGAAGTGCTATAGTATATGTAACATATACTATAGTGTTTCTAGTGATAGAGTGCACCCGGGTAGGGAATCTGAACGCACCCTTTAATGGACGTAGGATTCTTATGTCAAATGCCAATTGTCGTATAACCATAAAAATTAAAGTCACTATAATAAATTCTACTCACTTTGTACATAATATGCGAGTGTAGTATTACATTATTTTTCACATTTAAACTGCCCCACACAGCAGGAACGTCCCAAATATATCATAAGGATATCGCATATCCTAAATATATCTTTAGGATATCCCTGTGATATATTTTGGACACCTCTACTGTGTGGGGCATTTATATGTATCTATATATAAATGCATAAATGTCCTTAATATATTTTAAAATTAGTATGTTTGAAATGTTAATTTGACAGATTTTATACTGTTCTTATTTTGTTACATACGAAATTATGACATAAATCCAATATTATTATAGGTTAATATTTACTACACGTGAGATTACTAATATTTCTTTTCATTAATTTAATATCAGTAAAAGTGTAACAGATCATTTATTCATATATTGATATATAAGGAAAATGATAAGCGTTAATCATTAGAATAATAATTACGTACCTACCGACTTTTATCTTTTTATTTCTCTTGAGGACAAAGTATCACCTCACGTCGCCATGAAGCTAATCGGATTACTGCTGAGACAGCTTTTACTAAAATCTGATTAAGCTAAGGAATTTTTTGAAATGGGTCGATTGAATACCACTGTTCAGTCGGATTTCCAATCCGACAACTTATCGTAAACACCCGTTAAATCTGGAGAGCATCTATATCGCATTAAAGTTCTCCCCTCACCTAGCTGTGAGTGTGGAGCTGCCATTTAGAATGTTATGGCTCCTGCACACAAGACGCGGTAATGCTTGCCGCGCGGCAGAAGTTCACGCGACAGCCAATCAATATGCTGCTTTTCGTAATAACCTTCTAGCTCTTACGGAAAAACAACATATTGTTTGGCTGTCGCGCGGACTTCCGCCGCGCGGCAAGCATTACCGCGTCCTGTGTGCAGGAACCATTAAATACATTTTCTTTGAGTGTCATGTACGCCGATGTACGCAGTGCACTCTGCACGCCTTATTCTGGAACTATCATTCTTGGGAGCGCCACTTGACGATGGTGTTTTCCAGTTGCGTACACTGTGTTATACAAAACCAGTTTATTTGTTGCATATTATCTTACAAGATATTTTAGATAATATGTGACCAATAAACTGGTTTTGTGTACGTGTGTGTCAATGGGTGCTTTCTAATTGCTTAACACATCTTGACACACACATACACACACGTACACAAAACCAGTTTATTGGTCACATATTATCTAAAATATCTTGTAAGATAATATGCAACCAATAAACTGATTTTGTGTAATACAGTGTACGCAACTGGAAAGCACCCAAGATGTGTTAAGCAACTGGAAAGCACCCAGTGTCTGGTTAACAGAGGAATTGTGGCTAAATTCTTCGAGAGAGAAAGATATAAATTTCCTATCTCTCTCTACAACCTATCCTTTTTAGACGCGCTCGCGCATGCGCTTCAGTTTAGCTGCTCTGAGGTTAAGCTTGTAAAATAAAAGCGAAGAAAAGGTTAAAGTCTTTAATGTATTTAAATATATCTTGTTGTTATACAAATATTTCTGTAATAGATGTTTCTTTTCTTCTATTTTACTTTTCTTCAAAGAAAAGTGCCAATTAACAATTTGTTATATACAATTATGTATAATTATATACATTTATATATAATTATATATAATTTTATATGATTATATATAATTATATTGGGTGTACAACTTAGTTCGGTCCGTTTTCAAAAGATGGCTCTAGGTGCTATAAATGCTATAA